ATTTTATTGCTACGTTCCTTTAGCAGAACAGTAGTATTTGGTTTTCCCCTGGGTCCCTGGCCTATCTAGTCCAAAGTCCTTGGCCACCTGAGTAGCGTCAGAGATGGGTTCCAGCTCATGGAGGGGGTCCTTAGATCCCATCAGATATTACTCCCACAGGCTCTGTCACCATCGCACTAATGCGTCTTGTAGGCAGGTCGCTTTTATAGATCAAAGGGTTTGTTGTTGGGTTGGTATTTACTTTTCTCCTTTGGTAGCCTGCAGAGAACCTTTAGGTGTCATGAACACTAGTCCGTAGGCGTGAAGGCTCTTGGTAGGCACCAGCTCAAATTCTCCATGCTCAGTGGATTGTGTAGGTGTTGTCCTCAGCAATAGGATCTTGCCACCAGCTTGTGGGTGGCTATGTACAGCCTTGGCAATAGCCTGGGTTGTTTTGGACGTTCCCATGGGGTCCCTTTGCCCAACCATTCAATTAGATGAAACCTGTTCTCGGTACTGGAAGCTTCATTTGGTGTTGAGAGATGGCTCGTGGGGCCCCATCCCCCCATTACTTGGTACTTAGATTACCGTCATATGTGTATATGCTTTAGGAAGCTCCTACTGTGTTAGGTTTCCATGTGACCCCTCAAATGGCCCTGAGTTTCAGTAGTTCCTCGACATATTCTCCCCCACCTAATTTCATCTTCCCATTCCAGTCCTCTCCACCGCTGTTTATCCATAACTGTCCTATTTCCCTTCCTAGGGTGACCCAACCCTCCCCAGTTCCTTATTCTCTGTCTAACCTCTGTGGTTATATGGGTCGTAGCTTGCTTATTGAAGCCTTAACAGCTGACATCCACATTGAAGTGAATATATACCATATTTGTCCTTTTGGGTCTGGGTTACCTCACTTAGGATGATTTTGTTTTCTAGCTCTGTCCATTTACCTGCAAATTTCATGATTTCATTTTTTTTAAACAACTGAGTACTATTTCGTTGAGTAAATGGACCATATTTTCTTTATCTATCCACCCACTGACAGACATCTCGTCTGTTTCAGCCTCTGGCTGTTATGAATAGAGCAGCCGTGAACATGGTTGAGCAAGTGTCTCTGCAGTAGGAAGGGGATCCTTTGGACTTATGCCCAAGAGTGGCACAGCCGGGTCCTCAGCTTTCTGAGGAACCGCCATGCTTGTTTCCATGATGGCTGTGCAAGATTGCACTCCCGCCAGAAATGGATGTGTGTTTCCCTTACCTCACATCTCCATAGATCTTGACTATTCTATAAGTATAAAAAGCTCGAAGAGCTTTGGTTTTCATTTCCCTGGTGACCGAGGATGCTAAACCTCTCTTTAAGTGCTTCTCAGCCATTTGAGTTTCCTCTTTTGAGATCTGTGCCCCATCTTTTAATTGGATTATTTGTTTTTTATAGTTCTTTACGTATTTTAGATATTAGCTATCTGAAGGATGTGGAGTTGGCACAAATCCTTGCCCACTTTGTAGCCTGCCCCTTTACCTGAATGATGGTGTCCTTTGCCGTATGGAAGATTTTCAGATTCACGAGGTTCCGTTTACTAATCGTTGGTCTCAGTGTCTGTGCTATCAATGTTCTGTTCAGAAAGTCTTTTCCTGTGCCAATGAGTTCAACGCTATCCCCACCTTCTCACTGATCAAGTTCAGGGTATCTGGTCTTGTGTTGAAATCTTTGATCCGTTTGGAGTTGAGTTTTGTGTAGGGTGGTAAGCACGGATCCGTTTGCGCTCTTCTTCATGCAGGTGCTGATCCACTTTGGTCAGCACCATTTGTTGAAGGTCTGGCTTTTTCCCCCCCAGTGTGTATTTCTGGTTTCTTTATAAAAAAACAAACAAACAGATGTCCATAGGTGTGTGGTAGGATGGCTATTTTCAATATATTAGTCCTATTCATCCATGAGCAAGGGAGATTTTCCATCTTCTGATATCTTCTTCAATGTGTCTAAGTTTTTATCATACAAGTATTTCACTTTCTTGATTAGAGTTACCCCAAGGCATTTTTTTCTTTCTTGTGGCTGTTGTGAAGGGTATCATTTTCGTGATTTCCTTTTCAGTCCTTTTGTCATCTGTATACAGGAAGTCTACTGATTTTTGTGTATTAATTTTGTGTTATGCTACTTTGCAGAGTTCACCAGCTGTAGGAATTTCCTGGTGGTATTATTTTGTCACTTATGTATACAATCATCTTCAGATAAAGATACTTTGACTTCTCCCTTTCCTATTTGTATCCCCTTGATCTCCTTCAGTTGTCTTATTGTTCTAGCAAAGACTTCAGGAACTATGTTGACGAGGTGTGCAGAGAGTGGGCGACCCTGTCTTGTTCCTGATTTTAGTGGAAATGCTTTGAGTTCCTCTCCATTTAGGTGCATGTTGGCCATGGGCTTGGTGCAAATCACCTTTATTGTGTTAAGGTATGACCCCTTTACACCCAGTCTTTGCAGGACTTTCTATCAGGAAGAGGCATTGGAAGTGAAGATTGCCCACCTGATTCCCTGGCCAGTATGGTCAGCAGGTTTCCAGGGAGGGAGGGAAAGAGGGAGGGAGGGAAAGAGGGAGGGAGGGAGAGAGGGAGGGAGGGAGAGAGAGAGAGAGAGAGAGAGAGAGAGAGAGAGAGAGAGAGAGAGAGAGAGAGAGGCAGGCAGACAGACAGACAGACAGACAGACAGAGACACAGAGAGAGACAGACACAGACAGAGATGGAGGCAGAGACAGAGAGAGCCAGCCTCGGGTGTTGGCAGCTAAGACCTAGACACTTATTCTCAGCAGGTAAGCCCCCTGGAGCCTGAAAACTTGTTATATGCTCAACCTAGTGGATTCGAGAAAGAAGGGATTTTGTTTGTTTTTTCAAGACAGGGTTTCTCTGTGGCTTTAGAGCCTGTCCTGGAACTAGCTCTTGTAGACCAGGCTGGTCTCGAACTCACAGAGAAGCTTTTTTTTTTTTTTTGTTAAAGCACCAAAGAAGATGAAGAGAAGAGTTTAACCAGAAGCAGCCCAGCCCTGTAGTGTGCCCTGCAACACTGGGCCTTGGTGCAGGAGTCTGCCTGGACACTTGCACCTTCCTCCTCTGTACTGACAGGCTCCGTGCAAGGGTCCAGGCCTCCCAGATCCTCTGTTCTTCCCCCGTACCCACTAAAGCCTGGACACTCTCAAGGAGCAGGACTGGGTGAGGGAATGTGATTTTTGCTGTGCACATGACTTTTTGTAATTAACCAGCTTTTCAGCGCTGGAAAAGCAAGGGGACACCTTCTAAGAGATGTTTGGCTTGTTCGGAGCTAGGAGTCCTCTGCAGGATTGTCATGCTTACCTTCTGGGGAGCCCAGGGCAACCCCTACTGACAGGAAGATGATACTACAGCCAGGAGAATGTCCCAGGAATACTTTGTGGAAAAGATAGCTTGAGGTCTAAATCGACCTCTTTAAAGGGACCGTCTTCCCAACACATGTGTAAATCATGAACTGCACACCACTTCACTTACAAACTCCAAAGTTCCTGTGTGATACGACTAAACGGTAGCACTTGGCACAACTAAATAAAACATTATAATCCACAGACTTAAAGTGTCTAGAAGCCCTTCCAGGATTTGAGATGAACTCTGGAGCAGTGGGAACATAGTCACCAGCTCTGGGACTCAGGTCACATCAGCCTGGCCGTTAACCCTTATTCCAGCAGTTTTCTTCCACCTGAAGAGTTATTCGTGTGCTCTGTGTGTGTGTGCGTGCACACCTGCTTATATGTTTGTGCATTACAGACCTACAGGTAACCAAGGAAACCAGAAAAGGGTATCAGAACCCGTGGGGCTGGAGTCACAGGGGCTTGTGAACTTCTCCATATAGGTGCTGGGAATTACACCCAGGTACTCGTCAAGAGCAGTGAGCTCTCTAACTGCTGAGCTGTCTCTCCAGACCCCCAAGGTTCTTATTGGTCAGTTTCCTTACTATCAAACAGTCATTCATGTCCAGGGTTCCTATGCAGCTCCGGGCACCTAAATTCCTACAGCACTGCTCTAGCAGATAGGTACTCTGTGGAGATGAAGCCCAAGAAAGAACCCAATGGCATGTTGTCATGGAATATTAGTTGAAGATGTGTTACACTGATTTATGTCGAGGAGCATTTGTTTAATGATGCGAAGATGTGTTGCATTCTTTTATGTTGCGTTTGTTTAACTCTCTGAAGCTGTGTCACTTTGCTTGTCTGAAACACCTGATTGGTCTAAAAAAAAAAAAAAGAGGAATGGCCAGTAGCTAGACAGGAGAGAGAAATGGGCGGGGCTGCCAGGCAGAGAGAATAAATAGGAGAACAAGAAGAGGGAGGGGCAAGAAAGGAGAGGAGGACACCAGGGGCCAGCCACCCAGCCACACAGCCACCCAGCCACCCAGTCACACAGCCACCCAGCCACCCAGCCACATAGTCACACAGTCACACAGTCACACAGACACACACCACATAGTCACACAGCCACCCAGCCACCCAGCCACCCAGTCACACAGTCACACAGCCACACAGACACAGAGACACACAGCCACCCAGCCACACAATCACACAGCCACCCAGCCACACAGCCACACAGACACACAGACACACAGTCACACAGCCACACAGACACACAGTCACACAGCCACACAGCCAGCAATGGAGTAAGAAATAAAGAAATATACATAGAATAGAGAAAGGTAAAGGCCCAGAGGCAAAAGGTAGATGGGTGATTTAATAGAAGTTGGCTAGAAATAAGCCCAGCTAAGACCAGGCATGCATAAGAAAGACTAAATCTCCGTGTATTTATTTGGGAGCTTGTGGGGTGCTCCCAAAGAGCAAAGAGTAGAAAACATAAACAACTACAGAAAGTGTCTTTGACTGTCTCTTAAGCATGGCCTTCCCTGTAACTATCCCAGTAGGAACAAAGATACATCTGTGTCTTCCTCTTTGGCTGTCAGACTACAGAAAATGACACAATGAAGGAAAATTTCTTTAGAGATGCTGGGGGCGGGGAATGCCTGAAGTGCTGATGCCAGCTACAGGAGGAACATGTCTCCAGAGAGATTTCACACAATTCTGACAGCTAGTCAGACTTGCAGGAGAGACAAGTCCAGACATGGTGGGCAGGGCCAGTTATGAAGACTCTCGCCTTCTGTTTAAGCCTCTGGTTGAGGAGCTGACCCGAGTTTGGATCCCCAGCACCCACGGACAACACTGGACCAGGTGGTAACTGCCCATAATCCTGGTGCCGGGGAGGTAGAGACTGGGGGTCCCTGGGGCTTGCTGGCCAACTAGTCTGCCTCAGTCAGTTCCAGGTTCAGTGAGAGAACCAGAAAACGAGACGGAGAGCAATGCTGACAACCGACACCCACCTCTAGCTTCCGCATGCGCACACGCGTGCGCGCACAGACACACAGTCTAAGCCTCACGTAGATGCCCTGGACACAGACCCAGGGCCACTGCGCCTCAATGTTTGTTCCTCTTCCCAGTGCGGCCACTGAGCACATCTCCCTTCCTCGCTTTCCCCTGTTACTTGACTCCCCGGGTGCCGTATTGGGGATGGGTGGCGGAACCTAGCTTATTGGGACTTCCGGAGTCCAGGTAGACTTTGATCCCAAAACTCTGATGACATTTGGATAATTCGCAGGGCTCTAGAGCAGTTTTGAGGACACAAAAATGACAAAATACAAACATCGCAAACCGAGAGAGTGAGACAAGCCTGGACGCACATCAGAGACCACTGGAGCCTGGAGTAGCCGCTGCCTGGAGAGAGAGGCCGTGTGCTGTGAGGCACCTGGGACGCACCAGGTGAGAGCACCCAGAAGGTTCCGGGTACTGTCTGCAGCGGATGCCAAAGGGGGTGTCTCGGGGGTAGGGTGTGCAGGGAGAGCCTGCTGCATGGACCTTGACCACACAGCGAGCCCATGAGTCTCCATCTTGCTTACCGGGTCATTCGTTGGTACCCTCCCTTCCCCCACAGGTCCCCCTCTTTCGAGTCTTTGCAGAGGCAACCTGGATGCAGTGTGCAGCAGGCGTTAGCGTCTTTAACGTTCTCATCTGCTAAACTCTATGCAAATTTCTCCCGCCCCTTAACGACCTCAGACACGATCCTCCCTGCCCATAGATCGTGGACTGGTCGTTTGTTTGGGGTTATAGAGTGTAAGGTCTTGGGTTTGGGGTACAGGCGGGACCCTGAGGCAGATTGTCCTCTTAGGTAAGAGAGTCCTTAGCCGAGTTTGTTCTTAACACCACGGACAGAAAGCGGCATGGTGGGGGCGCCAGTGAGAGTTGAGGCCCTCGAGGCAGAGAGGGGTTTCCTATAGGTCTCAGAGGAGGGGGGGTTCATGTGGTCACACTGTCTCTGATTCCCCAGTAAGCATGGGGAGAGGGGATCTTGCATTGCCGAGACAGAATTATGTGGGTGTGGTGAGGAGGAGGGCGCACCAAGTTAAGGCGCACCCATTACGTGCCTGTGGGCACGTGTCCCCCGGATGTTCCGGACTCTGGTAACCAGGCACCTGCCGGGTGGAGTCTGTTAGGATGTTTTGGAATCACAGACAGGCTCCCAGTAGAGGGCGCTCGCCATTTCCTTCGCAGTGGCTGGCGGGGGCTGGAGAGAACGCTCAGCTGTTAAGAGCACTGGCTGCTCCGCCAGGTGACTTGAGTTCCGCTCCCAGCACCAATGTCAAGTGGCTCACAGCTCCCTAGAACTTCAGCTCCAGGGGATCCCCCGCTCTCTTCTGGCTTCTGTGGTTACCTACACACTTGTGCTTAAATGCACGCATACACATGCCAACATATAAAAGTAAAAATCCCAAAAAGGAAAGAGAGAAAGAGAGAGAGAAAGAGAAGGAAATCTTTTGCAGGGGCCCCTGGACCGAGCAGGAGTCTGGCCTGGATTTAAACAGAGACCTCTTCATCTTCAGGAACATTTGATCTGGCTCAAATCTCTGCCATATTTGAACAAGGGAGAACTGTTGTGATTGTGGGGGTTCTAGAAGAAGGCCAGCTTATGAGGGTGTCACTGAGGGCTTGTAAACTGAGAACTGTCTCATCTCTGTGAAGGACCAACACAATTACCTGTGGACTCATACATGTGACTCGGAGTGAACAGAAAAGGACACAAAACCTAAAAGAGGTGTCCCCAGAGCTTTAGAAATCTCTCTCACAGCTCATGCTAGCAGAACTGCCCTTCACCCAGCCTTCTGAAGTTCACCAATCTGGACCCGTGAATGTCAGGTTTACATGCAAAACCCATTCCTCGGCAGAGAGGCCTCCTTTTGCCCTGGGCGTGGGCTAGTACAGAAACTCACAACTGGCTGGGCGTTGGTGGCACATGCCTTTAATCCCAGCACTCGGGAGGCAGAGGCAGGCGGATCTCTGTGAGTTCCAGGCCAGCCTGGTCTACAGAGTGAGTTCCAGGACAGCCTCCAAAGCCACAGAGAAACCCTGTCTCGAAAAACCAAAAAAAAAAAAAAAAAAAAAAAAAAGAAAGAAAGAAAGAAAGAAAGAAACTCACAAGTGACCAAAGTGTAGAAAGTTAGTGCCGACGGGATGCTCAGACACAAATGGGACATCTGTATCACACTCTGTCCCCGAGGCTCAGGGATCATTGAGAAAGAGGACATGGAAAGCTGTAAGAGCCAGAGGCCAGGGAAGCGTGGATTGAAACAGTGGGCAGGACAGGATTGCTGCAATCATGAGCTCACAGTAGCTGCTGTTGCCTGCATAAAACCTGGGAAGGATTAAGTCAGTCAGCATTCTGCCTTGGAGTTGGGGACCCTTAGGAGCCCTCGCCCCGTAACTGAGGTGCTGCGGACAGCTGACTGCTTCAGGTAGAGGCAGAGTAGTCAGTTCTTTAAAGGCGTGGCCCGTGGTAGATGATGCTCAGTATGTATACTTGTGAGTATGTGGGCAGCACAAACTGGACTTGGTGGTTCTTTTTTTTTTTTTTTCAGGCACAAAGTTGAGAGTGGGGGGGCAGGGATGCATCTGGGAGGAATTAGGAATAGGAGTGGGGTGAATGTGATAAGAATACCCGCAGCACACGCGGATGTGTTTTGTTCCTCGGTATTCATCAAGGACAAGAAGCTGACCTGGTTTTTGCACGTGGACACTTTGAGCTGCTTTGTTCATACCCAAAACCTGGAAGCAAATGTCCTCCACCTGCAAGTGTACAGACAAGTCTGGGTACGAAGTAATTTGGTAGACTCATTGAGAAACTGTTGGTGTCGTTCTCAAAGCGAGACTCATGCATAGCAGTTGCATCCCCAGGGACACACCCAACACTTCAGGCTTGTGTAAGGACATTACAGGGTGAGCTTGTTTTTTTTTTTTTTCCAACAGCTTTCGGACTTCAGCCTGGCTCTCCCATGCCCCATAGGTTCCCAGGGGCTCCCTTCCTTGGAACAGGCGGGAGGCCTGAATCTCACAGAGCCCAGCTTGTGGGAGGGGGAACCCCCTAACCTCCACACAGCCTCTGTCTAAACCACATTGCTTCTTCTTAGGCCTATGCCAAGCACTCAGTTTTCCTGTGGACTTTCTCTTCTCATGAAGTGAAGCCTGAGTGACAGATCGTCTCAAGCCTTCCTTGGGAGTGTGCACCGGGCACCTCTTAGGTGGTCTAGGTCACCACGACAGTCTGAAGTCAGACTTCTGACCCTACTAACCCTGTGCTCAGCCATACCAAGGAGGCCAGACGATGTTCCTGGAGGGGAGGGCAGGGAGAGTCTAGGAAGGGGTGTCCTACCCAGCAGAGGGCTTTACTGCCTCCAGGCCCTCACTCTCACAGGCAGCCCAGCGTGTGTTTGGAAATCTTCACTCAGGCACTAGGTGGGAGTACAGAGCCCTTGGAGGAGGGGACCGAAGCCCAGATCGCATAGAGCTAAGGCTAGAACCTGGGTCTTGAGACTCCGAAACCCAGTTCTAGACCAGTGTTTCCCACAGAGTCATGCCTGGCTCCTTTGGAAAGTTGGTGAAGTTTACAAGGCTGTCTGTCCCACAGTGGGGTTTTAAAACAACATGGAATGGAATACATGATTACCAGGTCTGTTAAAATAGCCATATTGAAATACATTTGTCAGTATTTGGTTTTTGAGGCAGATTCTCTGTGTAGCCCGCGTTGGCCTTGAACTCTCAACTCCCCTGCCTTAGCGGGAGTGCTGATATTATAGGTGCCCGGCTCAATTGCCATGACTTAAAAAAAAGATTGCAGTACACTGTATGTTACATCTATGTGACTTGTGTGGGGGTGTATCTATGCGTCCATGGTGGACACGGTGTTCAGCAGTTCTGCTAGACAGGCAGCAAACCCCGGGTTCTGCCTGTCTCTCCAACAATAGGATACAGGCGTGCTGCCACACCCAGCTCTTCTTCCTTTTAATTTTTAAAATTTATTTATTTTTTTGTGTTTGAGTGTCTTGCCTGTGTGTATATCTGCACAGTATCCCCTGGAGCTACAGACACTTGTGAGGCACCATGTGCATGCTGGGAGTCTCAGATCTTAGTCCCCTGGAAGGGCAACCACTGCTCTTAACCGCTGAGTCCTCTCCCCCCAACTTTTTATGCGGGGGCTGGCGATGTGAACTCAGGTCCTCGTGCTGGCTCAGCAAGCGCTCTACCCACTAGCCACACCCCTTCCCCAGCCCCTGCGCATGCTTATTAGTGTTTTAAATTCAGTTTATATCAGTAGTTCTGGGAAACAAAGATTTTCCAGGAAGTCGTGAGTGGTGATCTTTTAGGACAGGGGCGTGAAACGGAGCTTTGGTGTTGGCAAAGTCAGGGGTCATATCCCAGCTGACGGAGTGACGAGGAGGGATGACTCTGCTTCCACCCAAGTCTCCAGACCCAGGGTGTGTGTGTGTGTGTGTGTGTGTGTGTGGGTGTGTGTTTGTGAATGTGTGTATGTGTGCGTGTGTGTGCTTGTGCATGTGCGCACATGTGTGTGTGTGAACCCTAGGTTCAGATTCCCTGTGTCACCTCCTGCAGGGGTGTGTGTGTGTGTGTGTGTGTGAACCCTAGGTTCAGATTCCCTCTGTCACCTCCTGCAGGTGTGCTTTGTGTGTATGTGTGTGTGTGCGTGCGTGTATGTGCATGTGTGTTTGTGCATGTGTGTATGTGTGCCCGCGTGTGTGCTTGTGCGTGTGCATGTGCGCACATGTGTGTGTGTGAACCCTAGGTTCAGATTCCCCGTGTCCCCTCCCCCTAGTCTCCCTTGTCTTTGGCTCCTCTCTGGCTTCCATGGAAACCTGTCCATCAGCCGACGGTGGGCACAGTGCTGGGTGATGACACACAGCACATCCCGGACACTTCCCAAGGCCTCCTGCATCCAGTGAGCTGTGGAGCCCAGGACCACACAGGCAAACGCTGACACGGCTCCCCCTCCCAGTCTGGGAAGGCCAGTGTCTCTCAGCTCAGGATGAGCTTCCGAATGAGCTACACACAGGTAGCAAGTGCTTGGGGACAGAAGAGAAGAGTGACCCGATCTTTAGGTAGAGAGCGGGGGGGGGGGGGGGGACGTCCAGTTAACCCACACCCCAGTTCCCTGCTGCACAGCCTGTCGGCCTGTACAAAAGCTGACCCCAGCCTGCGTGACTGTCCTATGCAGCAGAGAGCCTTGAGATCAACCGCTGACCGTGAGCGGTCTCAAAGGCGGTTAGCCGTGAGGGCGGCTGTGCCTCGGAGGCCATGCCCCGCCTCCCCATGCTCACATCATCACCCTGTGGCAAAACATTCCGAGGGCTGTAGTCAGGGTGTTTCAGCCACAGCAGAAGCTCAGGCACCGCCCACGCACGCTAGCGAGGGCCCTGTATCCCCAGAAGAATTACGCCGTGGTTTTGACATCTTCCTGGAGGCTTTTCTAGAGGATTGTGGGAAGAAATACGCTAAGAGGGAGACCTGGTCCACCGTGACTTGGGAGAGGGGTAGGACCACCTGTGAATACAGTTTGGAGGGTGACCCTTGAAGTTAGAAGTCAGCCAGTACTGACAGTAGTAACCCTAGCTCCTGGGAGGTGAAGGCAGAACAAGCATTGAAGGCCGGTCTCCTTGAATATGCCACAAACATTTAAAAAACTGTCTGCAAAGCTCACAGTGCAGAGCCCAGTGGGTGCTCCATTCTCTCTGGAGTGTTTGCTTTGCCAACTAAAAGTTTTGCTTGAAACTTCCCATCATTCTGCTGAGCTCTTACCTTCGAAAAGAGAAGAGGTTATAAATGGAGATTTCTCTCCCGGCCACCAGTTCCCGAACAAACACTCAGAGGCTCAATATTAATTGTAATGGCTGGGCCAACGGCTCAGGCACATTACTGGCTAGCTCTCACAATTAAACTAACCCATTTTTGCTAATCTGTGTATCTCCCACGTGGCTGTGGCTTACCGGTAATGTGCAGGCATCTTATTCCCTTCGATGGCTACATGATTTCTCTTTCTCTGCCTTTTTTTTCCCTCTGTTTGGATTTCCCCACCCAGCTATATTCTGTGCCCTGCCAGCTTCAGGGAACAGTGAAGCCTAGTAGTTAGGCACGTGAGCTTGGTCAGGAGCTGTCTCAGATTGAAAAACTGAGTCCCGTCATACCCTAATGCAAATCTCCTCAACCTCTATGTCTCTGTTCTTCATTCCTAAGGAGGGGTGGGCTAACACATTCCAGGTGTAGAGTTAGTCATGATGTCACTGGGGAGGATAGACAGAAAAGGGTGGGAAACACACCCCACCCTGTGTGTGTGTGTGTGAGAGAGAGAGAGAGAGAGAGAGAGACAGACAGACAGACAGAGACACAGAGACTGCCACTATATCCATCCAGAGCTCACTGGTTTGGCCATTGAGCTCCCAGGAGCTTGGTCCACACAGCGAGAGCCTCAAAAGCCAGGACTTTGAGCGTGCACCACCCCACTTGGCTTTTTACCTGAGCACCAGGGACCCTGGCTGAGATCCTCATGCTGTGTGGCAAGTACCTCACTCACTGAGCCGTCCCCCCAGCCCCGGGGACAGCAGAACTGTGCTGAGGCCGCGTCCCTGTTTTGTGAAGGGGACGGCTTAAGGTGGGGCATGATATGTCTTTATTTTCCTGTCTCACTGGGGACAGCATCAAAGCGGTGGTTTCCCCACTATTCCCCCATAAGCCGGGGCTAGACCGAGTGCTTAGGTTTCAAGACGTAACACGCTGTTAGAGAGAGTTCTCACAGCGACACACACACGCCACAGGTGACGTGAAGACGTGTCAAACAGCACGCTCTCGGTGGCGGTGGTGGCGGTGCCTGGTCCAGACAGTGTGTGAGGAACTGGGAACCACCTTCCCCTGAGGGGGTTCTCAGGGCTCTTCTGGCCCCACTCGGCACTCCCTGTAACCCTGGCTGGGACACAGAGCTGACAGCAGGCACGCAGAGCCTTGGAAAAGCCTAGAGATCACCTCAACCCTCACTTCTGGATATGTTCCCGGGCAGCATTTCAAAACTAAGGCCACCACCCAGCAGGGGCTTATCAAAGTAGGGGAAGAGTCACAGCCAACTCTACAAACACGGAACAAATAGTGGGGCGCTCTCTGTAGTCAGAGGAACTGTGCTGTGGGGCGTGGCATGGACCAGGGGGGGCGTCAAAAGCAGTCCCCCCCCCCCGTGTGTTGCGTGGAAGCATGCCAGTTCCCCTCACCCCTCCCCCTGCCCTGTCCCTGTAGCCTTTGGAACCAGGGGCCAGATGAAGTCGGACGATGGGTCGTTAAACGAGGTTTGTGCTGGGGGGGCTCTGATTGAACAAGTGTCCCAGAGCCCTTCTGATGCATCAAGAACCCGTCAGCTCCCCGACACTGTATTTTCTAGGAAAACGAGTCAGGCCTAACTGCCCCTGAGCGCTTCCCGGCGGTCCCTCGTCCCTTTGCCAGACTCCAAGCCCACACCCAGGCCCTCTGCTCCCAGCAGCCGGGTGCTTGTCCCAGGCACAGCATTCCCTGTCTCTCACCACTTCCTCACTCGGCTCTGCGTTTCCCGTGTGGCACGTGGTCTGGGCAGATGGTCTGCAGTGGTTCCTGCCACCTGCTGGTGTGAAAGGGGACGGAGCCATCTCTCCACTGACTCATTTAGGTGTGCCCACACGGCAACCCGAGGGACCATGTCTGACGGGAACGTCCTGAGCTGCAGTGTTGACTTGGATGTGAAATGGTCCCTACAGGCTTATATGTTGTAATGCTTGGTCCGCGGCTGGTGGCGCCGTTATGGAGACCGTGGAACAGTTAGGAGGTGGAGCCTCCCTGGGGCCAGGCCTGGAGGTTTGCTAGCTTCTGGTCCAGCTTCTGGAACACGCTCTAGCTCCATGATCCCTACCACACAGTGGCCTCTGGCTCCTGCCACCGCACCTCCCAGCACCATGGTGACCTACGTCCCCTCTTAAACCCTGAGCCCAAGCTCCCTTAGGTAGTGTCTTCTCAGGTGTCTCCTTACACAGGAAGTGTTTCCTCTCAGAAGGCAGAGCCGGGCTCCCAGGAGCAAGCTGGCCTGGCTGCAACGGCGAGCTCGGGTTCAAGTGGGGGACCTGCCTCAATGGAGAGGGGTGAGGATGGTAGAGGAAGACCCCTGCGTGATGTGGGCCTGGAGCTCCTACACACAAGGTCCTACCCATGAACAAAGCGTGCAGGCACACATGCACAAATCTACACACCTGCTCCTACCCGTGAACAAAGCATGCAAACACACATGCACAAATCTACACACACGCTCCTACACGTGAACAAACCATGCAGACACACATGCACAAATCTACACACACGCTCCTACACGTGAACAAAGCGTGCAGACACACATGCACAAATCTACACACACGCTCCTACACGTGAACAAAGCGTGCAGACACACATGCACAAATCTACACACACGCTCCTACATGTGAACAAAGCGTGCAGACACACATGCACAAATCTACACACACGCTCCTACACGTGAACAAAGCGTGCAGACGCACATGCACAAATCTACACACACGCTCCTACACGTGAACAAACCGTGCAGACACACATGCACAAATCTACACACACGCTCCTACATGTGAACAAAGCGTGTGCACACACACGCACAAAATGCAGAGGCACACGCATGCTTTTACACATGAACATAACATGCAAACATGCACACACACCATGCAGAGAGGCACACACATGCTCCTACGCTTGAACAAAGCGTGCAAACACGCACGCGCAGAGGCGCAGGGAGAAGGTGACTATCTGGATTCGTTAGAAGGTGCACATAGCCATCTGGGTTGGAGGCTGAGGGTGTG